ATTCTGTGAACCGCAAAATGGTCGCAGACCTACCCAGTGCAGACCACTTGTGGCACCAGTTTCGCGATCCATTCTTCGACCCACATACTTGTTCTGCGGTCCATTCTGCGACCGCAGACCTGATTCCGGAGGCTTCATTTTCCTATTTTCATAACCCGACCATATTTTGATAAATAGTCTTTGGGGCTTTATCTGGGGCGATTTTCTGGTGAAACTAGAGAGAGGTGAGAGCATTTTAGAGAGAGAAGGAGGAACCTAACATTTTAATCATCCAATCTTGCACCAATTCTCAAGAATCAAGGAAGCTAATCACTAGATCATTATCTTTCCGAGTAAGTCCTACTTCTAAGATTTCATACAAGAGGTTATGAGTTCAAATATATATTGTGGGGTTTGAAATAGGCCATGCATGTGACACAAAGTTGTAGTATGTGGAGTAATGAACCATTTTGGGTAGTTTCTTGTTGAAATTGGTTGAGGGATGAAAGGATCTCCATTGTAGAGCCTTGTAGTCTATTTCGCATGTTAGGTGTTTGACAAAATAACTAAGAGAGTTACATCATGGAAATCCTTCTAATTATTAACTGATTTTCACTATCTTCCTATAGATTGTTATTGCTAGACGTGTTGAGGCGTTGTAGTAACTTAAGGAAAGCTCGAACAAGGTATGTTGGCTAAACTTTCTCTCTTAGAATCGAGTTCCATAATATTCCCGTAAGTTAAAGTATGGTTGGCTCAAGATTCCTAATTTCTATATTCTGGGTTATCTCCTATAAACTTTACTATTCCGAATGAACCTTATGTCGAAAGATATATGTTCAAAGTGTGGTTTGCGTATTAAAATGTTATGGCTTTGAGCCTTGTTCCAAATGAAAGCTAGTATGCCAAATTGTGTGAGAAAAACTCAATATGCTTGAGACTCTTAATTGCTCATATGTGTGCCTAAAGCCTTGAATGAAAATGTCTTGTTGTTGATAATCTGTTAGGATGCTTGAAAATGAAATAAGTGAATTGGAGAAATAGAGTGTGGGCAGCGTGCCAAGAACTTAAGTTATAATTGTGACTAGTGATGCCAATGAAATGAGAAGATGTGAGACAGATTATGAAATAAGCCTCGATGTAACTGTTCATAATTGACTTCAAAAATAGAATTTTCTAAAAGGTTTTGTACTCAATTTATGCCCATAAGTGGGTGTTTTAAATAATGCTTTGCTTTATAAATATATCTAGTGTGATTCGAGTCATTATACACTCAGGTATTAGAATTGTACGTTGTCATTTCTGGGAAAGAGAATTGTAAGAATAAATGGTGTATTCATTGTTTATGATCTTGATGTGTGTTTCTATTGCTGGTTGGTATGCCCCATTCTTTGGGAAGAAACCTTTTGTGCTTAAAGTTTCCATAACTAATAAACTTGAGGTATATAATTTCTGAAATATTGGATGGTGATCCTTGGAATTAAAAGAAGTGAAAATGTGGAATATGAAATACAGCCACTACGCCATGAATAAAGAATCTTGTGAATGGCCAAAACAGCCAATGAAATATTGTGGTGTTGAGCGCTTGAAAACACTAAGGAAGATTTATACAATGTGAAAGATGTTGAGTTGAGTACATTTGTATTTATGTTATCTTTGTGTTCAAATAAATATAAAAATATTTTTGGGAGTATCGATAGTCACCGAGGAAGGGTAGGTTGAAATAACCTAACCTCGAAACTACGCGTGCCGCTGTATGGTGAATTGTGAATATTCCCCTTATTTGGGATGAGATTAATGTGATGAAATTATTGCCCTAAATTGGGATGAGATTATTGGTAAAAGCAGATAATGTCAAACCACACAGCATTATGGTGAGATGGCCTAGCCGATCGGGCCATGATCGGATGCCACGTCGCACACATGGTGGTGATTGTATTGGAAATTGTGATATAAATCTGTGATATAAATTATGATTGTGGTTGATATCTTCAAATAAGGCGGCCTAGCCGATCGAGTCGTGATCGGACTCCGTGCTAGATTCACGGGGGTATATTTGCACAGAGATTGTGACTGTGCTAGAATTGTGATTGTGGTTAATGTCTCGGATGAGATGGCCTAGCCGATCGGGTCGTGATCGGACTCCGTGCCAAGAGTACGGTGGCATTGTGAATAGTGGCATTGTGAACAGTGGTATTGTGGACAGTGGTATCGTGAACTGTGGTATTATCGGTACTAAAGATCTCCCAACTAAAATTATGTATTATTTTCATATTTTGAAAATTGTTATGTTTTAATTGGGCATTTGGATATTATTGATTGTGACTTGTTGTTTATATAGTTTTTCCTTTTCTTATATGGTCATTCTACTTTGAAAGAGGACTTTTAGTTTTACATACTAGTGCTATTCGACAGTACTGACGTCCCTTTTACCGGGGGCGTTGCATTTTTAATGGATGCAGGTGGTTGCACTGTAGGCGGCATTGATCAGTGATAGAGGTACACTCTTTGCAGCTGACTTGGTGAGCCGTACTTCATTTCGGGGTCATGTATCTTTTGTTTCTCATGTATTGTGTTTTGAGGTATAGCCAGTGCCTTGTTGCTGGTATTTCCATTTTACTCTTCAGTTGTACTTAGAGGCTCCGTAGACAGGTTGTGGGTGGTATTTGATGTTAGCGATTGAATTAAAAATGTTGGTATTTTGCAAATATGTTTTTTGATAAATCTATAAACTCGTACTATTTTGGAAATTATGAATGAAACTGCTAGTGGAAATAGAAATTGGGGTTGTTAATGAAATCCCCTCAATGTTTAAATAAAGTAGATATATTTTCTATTTATTCATTGATAAGTTTGGGTAGAATAAAATCTAACAGGCTTGCTCGGCCGGGTTCACTCGGTTAAGCGATGGTCCCGCTCCCAGAATTTGGGTCGTGACAGCGTAGAATTAGGATTTTTTGTAAAATTAGAATTTAGACCTAAAATTGAGGTCGGATTTCAAAACAAATCACATAACCGGGCTCGGGGGTGAATGGGTAATTGGGTTTTGGTTCGAATTTCAGGTTTGGACCAAGCGGGACCGGGAGTTGGCTTTTGTTGACTTTTTCAATAATGACCTAAATTGAATATTTTGCATTCGTGGGTAGTTCTAAGGCTTATTTTGAATCGTTTGGTTAATAATTTGCTAGATTTGGTTGGTTCGGAGGCTTGTTCGAAAGTCAAAACCGTGGTTGAGCTATGAGTTGATTTTTGGAACGAGGTAAGTGTCGTGGTTAACCTTGACTTGAGGGATTAGGACTTGTTTGCCTATTTGCTACATGTCTAAATGTTGGGTACAACGTATATGTGAGGTGACAAATACTTATGTGTTGTTGTTGGGTTAAAACATGGGGTGGGACTTGTTTCTTGTAATTTATTGCTTTCTTTGATCATGATATCCATGCTTAGACTAGTTAATTACTAAATTGATCATTCTTTCCGCACTTATGGACTATCTGTGATAATTGAGCATTGTTTCTAGGTTAAGGTTGGTATTGTGGAACCATTATTGACGTAAGGTTTGTTCTTATTTATTTTATCTCCCTGTTGTTATATGTCTACTGTTACATGGTAAGGGAGAGTGTTAATGCGCGAAGGGTGATGTCATGCCGTATTTGAGAGTTAAAGCACGAAGGGTGATACTCTGCCATATCTATTATTTCATGATGAAATTGAGAGTAAAAGCACGAAGGGTGATGTCGTGCCGTATTTATCATTTTATAGAGAGATTGAGAGTAAAAGCACGAAGGGCAGTACCGTGCCATTATTACTGTTTCATAGTGAGGCTGAGAGTAAAAGCACGAAGGGTGATGCCGTTCAGTTTTTTTCATTATGTTTATTCGCTTTATTGGTTGATGGTTTATTGACTGTTTCTTGCTATCATTATTTGCTGTAGTTACCGTATCTTGTACCCTTTTCGCATGTCTCCTCCCAATAGTACATGTTAATTCTTTATTTGCTGTTATGTTGTACTCGTCTGTATAGGTTTAATTATGTGGGTGTCTTGTCATAGCCTCGTCACTACCTCGTCGAGGTTAGGCTCGACACTTACGCAGTACATTGGGTCAGTTGTACTCATACTACACCCTACACTTTTTGTGCAGATTTTGGTACTGGTCCTAGCTGTCTGTGAGGCATATCAGCTTGGATTGGCGTTCGGAGACTCGAGGTAGATCTACTGGCGTCTGCAGACCTTGAAGTCCCCTTCCATTTTCCCTATTTACTGTTCTTTTCATTCGAGACAGTTGTATTTATTTCAGACTTTATATGTGGAACCTCTAGAAGATCGTGTGCTTGTGACTCCAGATCCGGGTTGTACTAGATATTGGATTGTCGCGTTATTTCGTACTTTATTTTGGACTTCATTTCTGATTAATTGGTTAAGGTGTTCGAAGTGGTTAAAATTGGTAAAGAATTACTCTAACGTTGGCTTGACTAGCAAGTGAAATGTTAGGCGCCATCGCGATCCCGAAGGTGGGAATTCCGGATCGTGACAATAGGTCTTTCAATCATCGAGTACACTATCAAATTCTCACGCTTATATCATGACAACAACATCATCTTTAATGTTTGTAGGAAACCCTATCATACATATCCATCGACAAAGTTTTCATAAAAAATATGGGGTCGTTTGGTTGCCGGTTAGAGTTATGCAGGTATTAGTTATACATGTATTAGTTATGCAGGTACTAGTTATGTATGTATTAGTTATGCAGCAACAAGTAATGCAGGGATTAGTTGTGCATGTATTAGTTATGCAGGGATAAGTTATGCAAGGTTGAGTTATGCTGGAATTAATTATGCATAGACTAGTTATGCGGTAGCTATATAAGGATTAGTAATATAAATATAATGTGAGTGTTATTTTTTTTTTTTTTTTTGGTAACTAACTTCTTTTTTATTAATCACCAAAAAGTATTTACATAACAAAGCAAAGCTAACACGGCTTGCTAATCTTTTGCTTACTCCTTATACTAATTTTCCTAGAAACATAAACTATACACATAATGTTTGTTCCTAGGAGTGACTCTAGCACTAACTATATATGTTATATCTTTTGAAATTTGCTCCTCGTTTCTGCTCTTCTCCTCAAATATTCTTCTGTTTCTTTCAAGCCATATATGATAAACAACTTCTGCATACATCATTCTGAATATCATCGCATAAGCAGACTTCCCTTTTGCTTGATTTATGGACCATTGAAGAAACCGCTGCCAGTTTCCATTTCCCAATTTCTGTCTTCCAAGCCATCTGCACATTCTGTTCCACACTTGGGTTGCATAATCACAATGCCAGAAAAGGTGATCTCTTGTTTCCTTTTCTTTTTTACACATCACACACTCAGGTTCTACATTGACCTTCCAGCTAATTAACCTGTCACAAGTCATTAATCTTTCCTGTATCATTAGCCACATGATGAATTTTGCTTTTGGCCTTGCTGCATTTTGGAACACCATTGTCTTCCATTCCATTCTTCTGTAATCTCCCAGTAGGTGCAGGTATATTTGTCTAATCATGCTCTTCTTCTGATTCTGTGAGAACTGCACCTCTTCAAGTATACTGTATGACTCAATCACTTTCCTTACCATCCAGCATGCTTGTTGAGGAACTTGCATTGTCTTCAGTTGCTGATTCTTGACATAATAAGCATGTATCCATCTGATCCATAGCTTGTCCTGCTTGTGTGCTAAATCCCAACATGTCTTTGCAATAGCTGCCTTGTTCCACAGCTTCAAGTTGATTATGTTGAGTCCACCACCTGCCCTTGGTAAGCATACTTTATCCCATGCTATCAGTGCCCTTTTTGTAATCGCATTTGTCCCAGACCAAACATATGATCTACATATTCCCTCTACTACTTTAATTACCTTAGCTGGTAGGATAAATATCTGTGCCCAGAATGCCTGCACCTCAAATAGCACACTCTGAACTAGGTGCACTCTGCCTGCATAGGAAAGGGTTTTAGCTGTCCAAGAAGTAATTCTTTTAGTCATTTTCTCAATCAGTGCTTGCCATTACATTAAACTCAGCTTCTTTGTAGATAAAGGAACTCCTAGATATTTGAATGGGAGTTCTCCACTTGTAAGACCTAAGCATTGCAATATTTGGTGTCTGTTTGTCTCATGAACACCTCCAAAATATGCTTCACTCTTGCTTAGATTAGCTTGCAATCCAGATGCTTCAGTGAATTGTTTGAACTTCTGTTGCATATTATTATTAAAATAATAATAATAATATTTATTATTAGCTTACTTTATTTTATTAAACTTGTTAGTATAGTTTAAATATATTTTTTTAAACAAAAAAGTACAAGTTTGAATAAAGGGTATTCTTGTCATTTTGTGTTTTAATACAAGTATTACTAATACATATATAAGTTATTCCACCTTCTACCTTGCATAAATAATACATAGATTCCTTCATAACTTATACATGTATTAGTTATGAGGAAAAGAAAAACATGAACCAAACATTGTATTAGCAATGCTACATTTTATGTGGAAAAGAGGAAAAAACAATCAAACATTGTATAACTTATGCTAGCTTCTATGTGGAGATTATTTTTTCCCTTTCTTTTAACCAAACAATGTATAAAGTTATCCTAATTTTAATATATGGATAACTCCTCTCTAACCGGCTACCGAACGACCCCTATGTGTATATAACTTAAAATCTTTTTTCTTATTAGTCTTCTTAAGAGTAGCTGGAGAGAGATGATCGAATGCGCGTTCTGTTCTAATTCTTTCACCGTGTGATGTATTAAGTCAAACTTTATTAAAAGTCCAGGTGTAGCATGCTCCTTCAAGAACTTACGGAGCTGTATTTTCAAGTTTATCACTTTTGAAACAAATAAACGGAATGATGGGGAACTCAATGATAGATAGATCATATAATATTAGAATGGAGAATAATTATATACTCCCATATTTTAATATCAGCAACTCTAAGCTTAAATTTTAAAACTTTGACCCCCAAGTACAGCACAAGTCGAAATACTTAATAATAATTTATACCATCCATAACCGACGTGGAACTATTAAAATAATGTTCCTGTTACCACCTAATATTGTTTTTAAATCCCTTAAACCACTAAAATTAATAATTTATTCTAAATTTTTATTTGTTAGGTGTATTCTGGTTCTTGAAACATAGTCTTTAATTCGTTTGATAATCGCATAAATTATTGGTTTTGGTAAACAAAATTAGGCTTTTATATATGTAAACTAATTGAAAAGTGACGTCGAAGATCTAAAATTATGGTCTGGATGTGATGATAGATAAGCTTAATTAACTAATGTATGAAATCATTAATTATAATTAATGCGATTATACTACCTTTTCAGCTCATGTAAGCGTGATTAAGAGTTGTTTTTATTATTTTTATGCTACTATGGACGAATATATATATGCATCTCTTAAAAATTAGAGGAGCCATGAGGAAGGAGCCCCGAGAAACAAACCCCNGGTCATCTCCTTAGGCTCGTTCATACCCACATACAATTTCAACCGCTGACCATTGACTCTAAATATACGAGAGTCATCTTCAGTAGCAACTTCCACAGCTCCGGATGGAAACACTTCAACCACGCGAAATGGTCCAGACCACCTTGACTTTAGCTTACCCGGGAACAACCGCAGTCTTGAGTTATAAAGCAATACCCTGTCCCCAGGTTTTAAATTTCGTTCAATGATGTTCTGATCGTGAAGCCTCTTCATTCTCTCTTTATATAGCCTTGTGCTCTCAAAAGCAAGATACCGGAACTCTTCTAGCTCATGTAATGTAGTGACTCTCGACGTGCCCGCAGCTTCCAAGTCTAAATTCAGCTGTTTCAGTGCCCACCACGCTTTATGTTCAAGTTCTACAGGTAGGTGACAGGCCTTCCCAAACACCAACTTATATGGTGACATACCAATTGGTGTCTTGAAAGCTATCCTGTAGGCCCATAGTGCATCATCTAGCTTCCTTGACCAGTCAGTTCTTGTAGCGTTTACAGTTTTTGTCAATACGCTCTTGATCTCTCTGTTGGACACCTCAACCTGTCCACTAGTCTGTGGGTGGTACGGAGTAGCCACCTTGTGGCGCACATCATATTTAGCCAACTTCTCGAAGGCCCGGTTGCAGAAATGAGTGCCTCCGTCGCTGATAATTGCACGCGGAGTCCCAAAGCGGGTGAATATGTTCTTCTTTAGAAACCCGACCACCACCTTAGCATCATTGGTGGGTAATGCTGCAGCTTCCACCCACTTGGACACGTAGTCTACAGCAACAA